TTGAAAACTTTTTTTGTGAAAACTCTTTTATTACTCACTCTTTGTGGAAACCTTTTTCAACCCTTTTGAAAACAACTTTGTGAAAACCTTTTTGATCAAAGATGAGTGATCATTATAGTGTACATGGTCATAACTCTTGTAGTACTAGGTCTAGTGTTAGGGATGAATTTAGGCAACTAAAAGAGTACCTAAGAAAAAAATAAGAGGAAAATATAAAAAGAGAGAAAGAGTTAAAAGAAAGAGAAAAAGAAAATGAGAAAAATAATGAAGAAATAAAAAGGTTGCTTGCTAGATTAGTTGTGGGAGGAGAGGCTAGTGGTTCAAGACCAAGAGTCTCTTCCCCTAAATCCTCAAAGGGCGAAGGGGTTAGAATACCCTCAATTGTTCATGAGGAGGAAGGGCATCATACCCAACCTCCAAGTGATAACTTCAATAGTAGTCATCACAATGATGATTACTATCAAAGACCCCCAAGACCCCATAGACATAGGGAGTCTTCCAATAAGGAAGCTAACATCACTCTTCCCCCATTTCATGGCAAGGATAATGTTGAAAGTTATTTAGATTGGGAAATGAAAGTTGAACAACTTTTCTCTTGCCATGGAGTGAGTGAAGATAAGAAGGTTTCTTTAGCAACCCTTAGCTTCCAAGGGCATGCTATGTATTGGTGGATCTCCTTAGAAAAAGAAAGGAGAATAAATCATGAGCCCCCAATCCAATATTGGAATGAGCTTTGTAGTGCCTTGAGAAGGAGGCATATTCCTCCATACTATGATCGAGAGCTTATGGATAAGCTTCAAATATTGAAACAAGGGTCCTCTAGTGTGGAAGAATTGTTCAAGAGTGGAGCATCAACTTAAGAGAAAAGTTTTTCGAAAAGACTCCACTCCCTCTTATCTCAAGAGTTTCAAGAAGGAGGGCCACTCTTCCCTACCTTTCCCCAAAGAGGAAAAAGAAAAAGAAAAAGAAAAAAAAATTATCTTTTAAAGCACCTTCCAAAGAGTCTAAGTCAAGTGAAATCAAGTGCTTCAAGTGTCTTGGAAGAGGACATATTTCTTCCCAATGTCCTACAAAGAAAACTATGGTTTTAAAAGCCCAAGACCACTATAGTAGCCTTGATGATGCTACTTCATCTTCCTTTAGTAGTGAAGAAGAAGCCATAGACTCCGAGGAAGAAATTTTACCTTGTGAAGGAGACTTACTTTTGGTAAGAAGGCTTCCTAACAATCAATCTAGTGACATTGACCAATCTCAAAGAGAGAACTTGTTTCAAAAAAAAATGTAAGGTCTTAGAAAATACTTGTTCTCTCATTTTAGATAGTGGGTCAACTTCCAATTGTTGTAGCACTAGATTGGTTGATAAGTTAGCCTTGACTACAAAACCTCATCCTAAACCTTATAGAATGTAATGGATCAATGAGGAGAAAGGTATTGTAGTTAACCAACAAGCAAGCATACCAATATCCATTGGCAATTATAAAGAAGAAGTGTTGTGTGACATAGTGTCATTGGAGGTTAGTCATGTCTTGCTTGGGAGGCCATGGAAATTTGACAAGAAAACAATCCATGATGGCCTCACCAATAAAATAAGTTTCCAACACTTGGGAAAGAAATTTATGTGGTGTCCCCTATCACCTTCTCAAGTGAGTGAGGACCAACTCAAATTAAACTCTAAGAAAGATGAGGAGGAAAAAAGAAAAAACAAAAACAAAAATAAAAGAAAAGAATAAAGAATTTTTCCTTTGAAGAAAAAGGGCTAGGTTCAAGAACACCTTAACCCTTGTGCCATCCTCATTCTTTTGGTGCCAAAGAAAGATGGCAATGTAGGATGAACACCTTTTATAAAAGCCATCATCGAATAAAAGGCACCCAATCCCTAAGATAGATGATTTAGTGAATGAATTACATGAGGGTCAATAACTTTTTCAAAATTACTTTGGTGATGCCTCTTTGGCTCTCTCCTTCCCCTACCACTTTCATTCAACAAATTGTGTACTTAAGGATTCCATAGCTAAGTTTTAGTATTTTACTTCCCTAATTGAGGTTTCACTTCTTTTAAAGGACCAATGGAATGGAAGAGCTTAAAGATTTGAGGTCAAATCCTTCTCAAGAAGGAGGGGATGATGGAGGACCATCCTTGGTGCTTCATGTGAGACCCATCACATGGTTCATGGCTAGGAGAATGGAGGAAGATAAAAGAGATATCATGTATGGATCCATCTCCTAGGCCCAATTTGACTAACATAGAATTTTATTACTTTATTCCAATTTTACCCTTGGGGTATTTTAGTGATAGAATTTATTTTATTTGTATTTCTAATTTTACCCTTGTATTTTGGGGTATCTTAGTCATATGACTTATTTTCTTTTGTATTTTCAATTTTACCCTTGTATTATGGGGTGCTTTAGATAATTAGGGTTTTAATTTTTAGGCTAGGGTTTTAATTAGGAGGTGATGCATTTTTGGTAGCTTTGGACCTATTTTTGGTCTTAGAAAGGCTTAGGCACAAGTGGAGGGCAAAGGTTGCATGATCTTATCATGCACCTAGATGTAGCCTAACTAAACCCAAAGATTCCATCCTTGGCCACCAAGTTGCATCTAGGGTTAATTTAGGTTTCATTTAGTGTGCATTTGGCAAGGTGAATTTCGGTCAAGGAACCCTAAATGCAACCCTAAATGCCTCTCACTCCTATAAATACCCAATGCAGCACACCTTGTAAATACTTTGGATATTGAATATAAAGAGAACATTTTGCCTTTATATGATCCTTAGTCCCCTTCGCTATTTTTGGCCACCTCCCATCCTATCTCCACCTTGAGAGAAAAACCCTAGAAGTGGCCTTCAACTACCTTGGAGTGAGCCAACCCTAGAGTGCACCTCTCAAACCTTTCATCAAACACCTCACCTTCAACGTCCATCTCCACCTTTCCTTCATCATTCCTTGCGCCTTTGAAGACCTTGATCCAAGGATTCAATGTTTCCTTCTCATTGATCAACATCTATCCATCAATGCTAGGAAGGATGCCATCACTTCCACTGGCTCCAAACCCATCATTAATTCCTTGGAAAGAAAAGGATTGGAGCATGCGTGTTTAGATCATAGTGCCACTTGTTTTAGGTACCCTTTTAGCTTTAATTGCCTTTCAAGGTTATTTATGGTTGTGGTATTGGAGAAAGATTCCAAGATTTGGAGGATTTTATGGTTAGTATGATCTCATGGAGTATGCTTCTGATGCACTAGTTCATTTCTCATACAAGGAGCTCAAAGGCCTTACAAATAGATTTAGGGAGAATCTTAGTGTTGGGGCTTTTGGTTCTATTTATAGAGGAATGCTTGGTAATGGAACTATGGTTGCAATTAAGCAACTTTAAGGAATTGAACCCGAAGAGAAATAATTTAAGTTGGAAATTGCTACCATGTGTAGTACTCATCATATGAATTTGATGAAAGTAATTGGTTTTTGCTTTAAAAGGAAACACAAGCTTTTGGTATGAGTACATGAAAAATATGTCTCTTGATAAATTTCTTTTCAGAAAGTCAGGAGCATTGTTGGATTGGGAATGTCGGTTCAACATTGCCTTAGGATGTGTAAAGGGTATCCTATATATTCATGAAGAGTGTCATACATGCATAGTCAATTGTAATATAAAGCCAGAGAACATTCTTTAGGATGAGAATTTCAAGGCCAAACTATTAGTTTTAACCCTATAAAGCTCATAACTCCCGAGGATTAGAGGTACCAAACCATGTTAAATATGAGGGGAACCAAAGGGTATGTGCCTCCATAATGGCTTTCAAATCTTTTAATGACTACAAAATTTGATGTATACAACTATGGTATAGTTTTGTTGGAGATAGTGAGTGGAAAGAAGAATGTTGAAATCTAAAACAAGGCCAATAATAAGGAGTTCTCATATTGGGCTTATAAAGAAGGTAATATCATGAACATTGTTGACAAAATACTACCTAAGGTTAATTTGGATCGGTTGAAAAGGTTGATTCAAGCAAGCTTTGGTTGCATTCAGGAGCAACCAATTTAGAGGCCAGCAATCAGCAAAGTGTAAAACATGCTGGAAGGTGTAAGAAATTTTAAGAAGCCACCAACACCAAAATCCATGAATAAAATCCAGGAATAAAAGATCATTTAGTGTAAATGGAGAATGCTTGAGAAGCAATGTCAGTGCTTTCTCCACTGTCTCAACCACAATATCGACTTACTCTCCACTGTCTTCATCCAATATATTAATAGAAACATAGAGAAACTACATCCTCTCTTATATTTTATGAACTAAATCTAAATAAAAAAAATAGGACTATTAGTTAATCTGTCATTAATTTCATTGTGTTTTCACATAACATCTAATATCTCTATTTGCTAATAAAAAATTATTTGGTGGAGGGACCAACAACCTTAAACTAACATATAGTACAACACAACAATGTTAACATGATTAGAGTCACAACAAAGTTAGCAAAACTATTATTGTGCCACAATGCTAGCGCTATCCTCTAGTTCAACTCACTATGTTGTTGTAAGAATCATATCTTCAGTGTGTATCCTTTCTAAATAATCCTCAACAAGAAACCAACAAGTCCTAGGCCTGAATCTTGCTAGTATAGTCTTTTTAAATGACTTTGCACACTTCGAGATATTTGTTTGTCCTTTCTTTAACCAAATAAGCTTTTATTTCTTTGATGTACCAAGGAATGACATAGAAACATATAATATGATCATTAAACATAATAAATGAAAATATTTAATATATTTATCTTAAACAGACGAAATGTTTCAACTAAGAGACATTTCAAAATACATATAATCACATCTGATCATCTTATGTTATCATCTTTATATGATCTTAAAAAATGGTTCTTTAAAAACACATTTGAGTTTGTTATCATTAAAATATATATTCCTTAGAGATCTAAGATCGTCCTATGATCTAACATCGAGATAATAGTGAAGGGTTATTGGTTTGAGTAAAATAGTGGAAGTAGATTTTATAAAAGTCCTTGTGAAATGTGTTTTAATCATGATACTTAAAATATACAATTTTATTGTTTTAATTAACCATGTGCAAACACATAGTTAATATGATCAATCTTTTAGAAAGACATATAATCACATAAATGATTTTTATGATTGAGAGTTCTCAAGCAAGAAAGACAACTATAAATTTTTAATGAGCTAATTCTGGAAGCCACTTGTAAGTTATGATTCTAAAGTTGACATGCATGCTTATTAGAAGCACCTACACGAAGCCAAAAATGTTGAATGTTTATGTCACGTGTCTAATTGTAAAAGACATGAGGTTGGTTTCTCAGTGTTCATTTTCGAGGCTAAGGTTGAAACACCACTATCCTGAAATGAAGATGAAAAGGAGGGAACGGGGGGTGAAACTCCAAATGTGGAGAATGCATTGGCATTGCTACTTAGGTATGAGTTGGTTCCACTAACAGCTCCTTCAATCATTGATTTTGGGGCAGGTGGCTTTTCAATCTCTATTAACCCTTCTAGCATTTGCAGCAGTCTACTCATTATTGGTCTTTGAGATGGATTCTCTTGAATACACCAAAAGCTTGCCTGAATTGCTCTTCTTACTTGTTCCATATTAACTTCTTGGTCAGCTAGTCTTTTGTCCAAGATTCCACTAATGTTACCTTTCTCAAATTCTTCATAGGCCCAAGTGGAAAACTTTTTCCTATTTGTTTCCTCTGATACATCAAAATTCCTTCTCCCACTCACAATCTCTAACAAAACCATGCCATAGCTATAAACATCAGATTTAGATGTTATGGGAAGATTCGCAAGCCACTCAGGGGCTAAATATCCTCTGGTTCCTCTCACACTTGTCAAGGTTCGATGCCTGTGGTCTTTGGGACTAATGAGCTTTGCAAGACCAAAATCAGAGACTTTGGCAACATAGTTCTCATCCAAGAGAATGTTTTCAGGTTTTATGTCACAATGGACTATGCAGTCACGACACTCCTCATGTAAGTATGTAATGCCTCTTGCGGTTCCCAGGGCAATGTTGTATCGATACTCCCAACTCAACAATTTTCCAGGATCCTCCTCTGTGTGGATTAGAAAATCATCAAGAGACCCATTTTTCATAAACTCATAAACTAGAAGCCGGTGGCGCCCTTCTGAGCAAAAGCCAATAAGCCTCACCAAATTGAGATGATGAGTGCTACCTATAGTGGCAACCTCCATCCTAAATTGCTTCTCACCTTGCTCAATGCCCTCAAGTTGCTTCACAGCAACAACAGTTTTGTTAACAAGAGTGCCTCTATACACAGCACCAAATCCCCCAGCTCCAAGCTTCTTCTTGAACCCCTTTGTTGCCTTTTGGAGCTCCTTGTACAAAAACTGCATCGGCGCACCAGAAGCATACTCAAAAAGCGTATCATGAGAAGACAACCCTCCAAACCTCAGTCTGTTCCTACAAAACCACACCCACAAACAACCTTGCAATGCAATCAAACCCAAAATGGCACCCAAAACAACAACCACCACAACCCAAGCACGCAACTTGGACCTCTTTTCCATCCCAGTCTCCCCCAAAGAGGGCGGTGGATTCAACGCCTGCAGTGGATTCGGCGCCAGCGGCGGACAAACCTTGACATATGAAATGCTAGGCATTGAAAGATTATGATAAAAACTAACAAAATCTTTTGATATTAGCAAACATTGCCCCGATCCATCTGACAAGGAAGTAGAAGCATAACAGTCTCCAGTACTTGAAAGACAATTCCCTCTACATGCCGATATCCCTATGAAAAACAATTGCGAAGCAGCCTCAGGGGCATAACTCAAGATCACAGCATTATCCAATGTCAACATAGTCGCACTCCCTTGACAACTGTCGAGACTGACCTTCCTCCTGCACCCTTTCCGAGCATCATTTCGATCAACCATGTCAAAATTCTCTGAAGGGCACCTGCAAACCGGGCTCGAATCATTGTAACTACACACACCATAGTTCCCACAGTAAGCATAAACCTCACATTGATCCTGAATAGCAGTCCATCTAACATTAGAACTTCCACTACCCTTATTAGTGCTATAAATCCTCAAATTGCCATCATTATCCAACTTCAACACCCTCAACACATCACTGTTCCCCTCAACATAGTCACTACTATAAGCAATAACAACAGGAGTACTCAAATTCACATCAGAAAGCTGCAAGAAACCAATCGATGACAACGCCAACACGGGGGAATCCAAACTCGCATTCACATAAGAATTGAAACCCTGGTGGTTCCAATACACTATGCTATTGTTCCACTTTAGGATCAAATTCCCATTTGCAAGAAGACTAAAAGAGTAACTTTGGGATGTGAGAGACTTACCAACAGTGAAATTCTGAGAAGGCAAAAGGGTATCGGTGGGATGGTCAAAGCTTGACCAGAGGGTACCCGTGCCCTTCCAAATTACCAAATTGCCACTCTCTTCAAGGGTTGCTGAGGTGGCGCCGCGGTCCGCCGTGCCAGAGTTCCACACTGTGGCGCCGGAGCCGTTGACGAGGCGGAGGGCACCGTTGCGGAGGAACTGGAGGGAGCCGCCGGAATCCACGGCGGCGCCGTTGCCAGCAGACCAGACGACGGGAGCGCCGCCGGAGAAGACGATTGCGGCGGTGAAGGAAGGAGGGGTGGTCGGTGGCTGAACGGGGACGAAAGCAAGAGAGAAGGTGGTGTTGGGAGAAGACCATATGTGATTGGTGAAGAGAGTGGAACCCGGGGTTATGGCGATAGTAACCGTTGTGGTTGCTAAAACAAGAGCCAGGAACAGAAAATGGGTTTTGAGGAACATGTTTTCTGATGATTCGGTTGTGTGCAAGGGTGTGAATTTAATATGTAGCCAATGTGTTGGATGGGTGTGTATTAACGGTGTTTTGGCTTCGTGTGTGGAAGAAATGAAATGGGGTGTTGGAAGACTTTGACTCGTTCAAATGATTGGAAAAAAAGTTTTTCATTATGTTTAAGGAGTTTGAATTTTCCACATGGTTGATTATTCACGATCTTGTAGTGAAAGATGAATATGTTGTTGATGCATCCTGTGGAACTTATGGTATTTATAGTTTCAAGAACCCAGTTCCTATTCTCAGATTGGAGTTATGAAAACTTTGACAAATTTGTTGCAGGGGCACTATCTGAGAGGCCTGCAAGAAGCAAAGTTTTGCATATGGTACAAGGTGTTACAAAGATTAAGCCACCAGCACCAAATTCCATGAATAATGGATCATTCAATGGAAATCGAGAATGCTTGAGAAGCTATGTCAGTGCTCTCTCCGCTGTCTCAACCCCAGCATCAACTTGCTCTCTCTTCGTTTTACCATTATAAAGAGGGATACCGGATACTTCATCTTGTATATTGTCAGAAACATAGAGGAATTTTGGAGTATATTCAAGAAATTTTTAAAAAAAATTAGAATTTAAATAAATTTTAATTTCTTTTATTATTGCATAATTTATTTAAAAATTTATTTTTAATATAAAAAGTTACATTTTATTCGATAATGAGAATTCAGATTATTTTTTTAAAAATGGTTAAAATTCTAATTTGGTCCTTTATAATATTAAAAAAAAATTAATTTGGTCTCACTTTAATTTTTTGTTTTAGTTTAGTCCTAAATTATTTTAAAATACTTCAATGTAGGACTTCCGTCCAAATTTTATAAATGGTGTTAAAGGTCTGTGAGAATCACGCCCATGATTCTAAATCACGATCGTAATTCTCACGCCTGGTGTTAAATCTTGGTGAGAAAGAGCTTTCTTCGTTCTTGTTCTCATTCTTCGTTCCCCGATCACCACCGACATTGAAAACTGTCGCACATTCACCTCCACCTTGTTATACACCACTCCCTCCGCCCAATTATCATCACTCTTCATCAATCACAACACCTTCATCGGTGAAACCGCCGCCGCCATGTCATCCTTCCTCATTGCGATGTCGTCCACATCCACCAGATCCTTGTTCAGCAACACCTTCCTTGTCATGCCATCCACCACGTCCTCGACTGCACCACCCTTTGCTCACATAGGCGATTTTGTTCAGCCCTACGGAACCGTAAGGTGCGTCATTGTCAGAAAGATTCTTCGTCGCCTCCGTGTACATAAGAGATCGGGAGAAGATCAACGTGGATCCGTCGGCGGATACCTTCCAAATGAAGTTTCCGTCGGAGTTCATCACGAAGGCGTTGCTGCGGTGGTCCATGGCGACGTCGTTCGCCGCATCGATGTCTTTGGAGGGGAGCAGGGAGAGGAAGAGGCAGCGGCGAGAGCGGAGGTGGTGACTAGAGTGGGGGCGTTCGTGGAAAGAATAGTATAGTACATTTTGATTGGTTCCTAGGCGTGAGAATCACGGTTATGATTGTCGCAACCCGAAATTTCCGATCTCGCGACTAATGGTTTAGACATCCTTTTAAAAGTCTCATTAATTAAGGAATGTCCGGACACCAAACTAATCCTTAATTAATGGTTTTGAAATTAGCTTCATGGAGTCGCCACTAATATTTTACTCAAAATATTGGAAAAAGAAAAGGTTTTTAAAGATCCAATAATGGCCTTGATAACTAGAATTGGGTTCGGGGCTCGGTTACGTGTAGGTGAGGGATTAAGCACCACTACAACGCCCTCAATCGGTACCCTATGATGAAGTTAACATGATAAGAATTAATAAATTAAATATTGAATCCCCTTTATTAATATTTATTTACATATTGAAAATTTAAATTATACGACTAACCCTAAAATATTTACATGATTGCGTTTGCTTTAAATAAAAAATAGAGATCAAGATAAGAAATAAAAGATATAGAAAAAGATTGATTGAAATACCTCTTGAACGAGCTCTATTGAATCTTCAAATATGGAGAAGGTGCTTTATGGCAACCTTTCACACTACAATATGCCTCACAAATCTCAAGAAATACAACAGGAGAGAAAGAGAGAGAAATTTCGTGCTCTAAGGAGTCTTGGACGAAATTTTTGGGGTTTGGAGAACTGTGCCCAAGCTATCTATTTATAGACTTCAGAAAGGGTCTAGAACGGCCCGTTACAAAATCGGAACAGCCTGTTCTGGATCTGGCCGTTACATGTTAATTTAGTGTATTGGAATGGGCCGTTCTGAAATCGGAACGGCCCGTTCCAGAGGTGCGTTTAACACATAATTTCCATTCTGGAACGACCCGTTCCAAATTAAGAATTCAAGCTTTTTTTGTTACTTGGAACGGCCCGTTCCAAATGTAGGTTTTAGCCTTTCTGAAAGAGCCTGGAATGGCCCGTTCCAATTTTGGAATGGCCCGTTCCAATTTTGGGTTTTAGGCCCTTTTTGTAAATTGGAACAGCCCGTTCCGGGCTACTAAAACCAGCTTATTTGGGCTTTTAGCCTTCTGATGTCAAGTCCTGTTATTTCGATGATTGGGAGCTCCTTTCCTTGATAATAGACGTCCATTTCTTCGTTTGTATGCCCCCCGGACGAAATTGGGTGTCTACAATGATTTGGAATCACGGGCATGATTCTCACGGACCTTTAACACAATTTGTGAAATTTGGACGGAAGTCTCACATTGAAGTATTTTAAAATAAATTAGGACTAAATTGAAACAAAAAATTAAAGTGGAACCAAATTAATTTTTTTTTTAATATTATAAGGGACCAAATTAGGATTTTAGTCTTTAAAAATATATCAAATATGATGTTTCTTCTACATTCAATCCCCATGCAAGAAATATCAAGGGAGAAGGAAGAAATCTAGAGGAGAAGACAATCCTCTTTGAAGGTTATTCCATCATTTTTGGTATTTAGAGCATGGTCATCTTCATGAGGTTGAAAAAGTATGTTGTCTTTGTTCTAGTATTTTTGTCATGTTCATAAATGCTTTTCATGTCTTGTTGAGCTTATGATGAAGTAGATTTGGTTATTGTATGCTAAATCTTGGATCTATTTTTTGTCTTCAAAAAATTTTGGTTTATATTTTTAGATCTAGTCTTATATGAACCATATCTTATTGTATGCCTTTAAGATTCATGTTCCTTATGTTTCTCGCTTCATTTTGATGCATTTTCTGTTGAGTATAGAAATATTAAAAATAAATAAATTAATTAAAAAATTAAAAAATATATATATAGAATTGTTCTGCTCCAAGATGGGGGAGGTACCTGCAAAAAAGAGACTTCGATGCCAAAGTTAGAATTTGTATGAGTATTAGTCTCATATAAGTAATGCACGTACCTTAGTGTGATTTAGGGTTGCTTTCGGCCTTGGGCCTGAGATAAGATATAATGCGATTAAATAATGGATCTCGTATGGGGCGAGATCCTCGGGAATCTGTTGCGATTCACTTAATTGCTGAGCTGACATCGCGTAGCGCGTGCTCGAGGTCATGTTGCGCTGAGATACCTAGCTCAGAGCTCGGTTTAGCAGTACAGATAGTACAAGAATTAACTTTAATTTTGAAATCAATGCAAAAACATGTTATCTTAGAGTCATGTGTAGTTCTTTCTTGTCATCACTTCTTGTTAATTATTTTAATTTTGAATCTTGAAAAACATATGATATATGTCTTGATCAAAGAGTATTAAGCTTTTTTTTGTTTATAATCCTTGAATTCATACATGTTATTTTACAATAAGATTTCCTTATGTCTTATAGTTTTCACTATTTCTTGATTCCTCTTGTTTTTTGTAACTCAAATTGAATTCAAATTTGATGAAATTCTTAAAACACTTAGTGCTGAAATATAAGTGATATGAACTTGCTATTTTAAATTTCAAAAATTGTTAAAAAACTGCACGTGAAAACAAGGGTTACCTTAAAATTTCTCACTAAATTTTTTGTTCTTTCTTGATTTTCTACTTCTAAATTTGCAATTTTGAGTTTCTTTTCTCAAAACATTTGTGACTATTTCTAGCAACTATATCAAAAGAAAAAAGTTACAAATTTGATCCAAAAGAAAAATAAATTAAAAAGTGTTAAAAAACGAAATATAAAAGAAAATACATGAAAAGGGAAAAATATGTTGTGTAAAATTATATATATATATATATATATATAAACACTGATGGAAACTTGTAATGGAACCGGATTGATGTTGATTCCTCTTCAGTTCCTCCCTAGACCTTTGGCTCCTTGATTCTTCTCAAGCTTTTCCAAAGCTTCTAATGGAGGAGAAGCTTTGGATTTCACTCTTCAAGAGGCGCCACTCCTTATAAGAGATAAGTCACTTCAATCCTCACCACACTCTTATTTGAGAGGATAAGAGAATTGCATGAATATCAAAAAGGTTGGAGACTTTTAGAAGATAGAATTTTTGAACAATTTCGAAATTCACTCAAATATATGATCAAAAATGATTACAAAGGTAAGAAAAAGGTTTATATAGAGTGGGGAAACTTATAGTGCAAGCTAGGCTAACTATGGTTCAAAAGAATCATGGTTCGCTTAGCTTGACTGGCCTAGTTGGTTTAGGAGGCTTGTGGAGCAAGCTTCTAACTTAGAAACTTGGGAAGCAAGCTATGTTAAAAGCTTGTAGCACAAGCTTCCCAAGTGTGCAAGACAAGCCAAGTAATTTGGCCAAAGGATTAGGCTAAGCGGCCAACACTTGTTTTTCCATATTTAATCCAATCTAAAAACTTGGAGTTGGTTTAGTTAGGTTCACCAAATGATGGTGAGACCTATGCAGGATACCCCTACCTCGTGATTCGCTCGTGACTGGTCGTGGATGAGTGAATTGTT